CAGAGCCTGTAAAAAGTCAACCTTTCTGTTCACCCCGCTGTCACCTCCCACACCGCTGCCTCCTGCATCATTGTCCCCCCATCAACATCAATGTCACTGTCGTCAACACGAGCCCACCCTACTGCTACCCTTTACCCTCACCAAGCCCAGCCCCCGGGGTTTTGGTCGTCGATTGTCCTGGGACCCTGCTGCGGAGCTGAGTGCTGAATCAAAGCCCTGGCTTTCCCGCAGCAGGAGATCCCCTTGACTCTGACTTGCTCTAAAACCCAGCAACAACTGGACTTTATTTCCCCAACACTCTGGTTGGAGTTTTTCCTCCGCCCCCTGTGACCCCCTTCAATTCCTCGGCCCCACTCTATGGCCAGGAGCAGGCCAGAGGAGACAGGCAGGTCTGTGAATAGGCGCAGGGGCTGAATGGGCATTTCTTCACACTAATGGGTGGTCCCTTTACCTCGGAACTGGAGCGCATTGAAGCACCCAGGCCAAAGGAGCTCTCATGCAATGTCACCTCAAACAATAATCTGTAAAATCTCTCTAGATTTGGGACTTCCTGGGGTTGCAGTCTTAAACTCACCTCTGTCAACTTTTGTATCTGTTTGCCCTTTCTGTTTTGGTCTCCAATCCTTTCACCAACCACAGTTTGCTTCCTTTCAGGTAAATGTGTCTGAATCACAGATTGCATCTGAGACATTCTCACTTGTTCAGTAAACCTCAGTAAAGGAAAATCTGCAGTATGGTCATTACTCCTACAGACGCATATCAGTAAATTAAAATAGTAAAAAAGCTGGAATATTTTAGCAATGTCGTGTAAAGGGTAAAACTCATAGGCACTTTCTAGTGATTCTCTAGTCTGTTTCGAATCGAGATGCCCCTATGGATTTGTTTGAAGTGGTCATTCATTATGCCAGCAGTTATTCAGGTGTTTCCCGCCAAGTGTGAGGAGTTCATTTGAGCTACATATAAACTCTGGTGAAGTGTGAGCACGCATCCTAAAGTTTGTGTTAAGCAAACAAAGACGCGATCAAAATGCATCAGGACCTCAGAAAGCGTCACACCAGACAGATGTGTGCTGGTTATCTAACTGCATGGACGCTCAAACAAGGGAGTCGTGCACTTCACAACACTGACACCGGCTGCACGGAGAGTTGCCTTTGATCAGCGTTTCTCTCAGATCTTGAGCAGCTTCCCTGGCATTTAGGCTTGTTTACACAACTCCAGACTTCAGTAAGCAGAAAAACAAGGCCTGGAACGTCTATTTAAAGGGCCCGGGGTGCAGGTATGTCGAGGAAAATAGGTGCACTGCGCTTTTCGTGTCGTCTCCCTCAGTGAGTTTTTGTGTACTGTTAAAGAAATCCCAAAAAACCCCCAAAAACAAAACAAACAAAAATAAAACCCCGCTGGTAATTCACAATGAAACGGTATGCAGGTTATGGTTCCTGTCATGCTTAATTCAACAAATTTCAGAGTTCAAATGGATTGAGCCAGAATGGTCATAGACACTTTAGGACTTAACGCAGGAGAGATGAGAACCGGATGGAAGCTGTGACCCCGTGCTGAGCTCCATCAACAGCACAAAGTTCCTCTATGGGGTAGGTGGATAAATGAAGGCCACCTGGACTGGGGTTAATCCGCCCTAAACACTATCCCTCTCCTGAGTACTGTTTCATGAACTCATGGCAAAGGATTTGAAACAGGCCTGTGACTTTTTTTTTTTTTTTTCGCCCTCCTTTTACCCTCTGCTCATTGATTGGAGTCTGGATAGAGGAGGAACAGAACTTTTTCTTTTTGTGTTTCTGATGCCAAGAAGCATCAGAAGGGTCATACCTCACACATTCAGGAAGTAGGTTGGAAGTTGTCGGGTTTACATTGATAATATGTTTATATTCTTACATATTCAATTCCCAGCGTCTGTTTCGGATTAGATTCGGGGATCTGGAAAGTTTCTCATATGTAACGGGTCTAATGGTTTTCTTCACCAAAGTGCGGCATAGTGTGTGCACAGAAAGCTGTGTGGATGAACAAGATCAGAGAAAAAAAAACAATGCTAACAACAGCACACTCACATAACTATCTGTTGGACTTTATTTAAAGTCATGTTAAAAATGTTCAGAAGACGTTAAGTGGCTAAAAGGTTGATTTGGCTGATTAGCTGAGAGATGAGACTCATTTTTACACCATCTTCCGATAGTCTCATGCAAAATCTACCAATTTTTCTTCATTCCTGGCCACCCTAGAATGGACTGACGAGTTTCACACTGACTCAACCAAACACCAACCTTATGCTTTAATCTCGAAACTTCCTCAATCACAAATCTTACGTCAGTAACTTTTGCTAAATTGATTAAAATGATATGGCTACAATCATTAGAATAACAATGAACTGAATGAATCACACAATATGATAACATGTTGATTTGAATTCAAATTAAAATGTTCCAGTAATACTTATTGTTAAAATGAACTAATGTTTCTGGACACTACACTTAGCCTGCAAGCTAAAGTGCTAAATTAAAATTTTGATCTCATTGAACACAATTAAATATTGTCCAAAATGTTTTTTGTTGTTGTTGTTGATTGTTGTTGATTGTATGTCATTTCAATAACTAATTGTCATGGGTATTGCAAATAACTTTATTGGGTCATATTTTTGTAGCTTTTGTTTTTTTCTCCACAAAACGTGACTGTTCACCAAAAGGATGGGAAGCATATTTCGCAAATTAGTTTACACACAATGAAAACTTTTCAAACATGTGACGGATCACGGGAAAAATCATCCATTTCAAGTCTTTTAGTTTTGTAAGTGATGCTTTAAGGACTTCACACAGTGTACATGAATTACAGTGTGTTCTTTGTCTCGTAAACAGGGCAGTGGATTTGCAAACTTATCTGATGGTGTTAGAGAGCAATGAATGGATTCTTTCAGTTTTGTAAAGCTGGTGAGGTTATTTTGTGCTGGATAATAACTGGTAAATCTAGGCCTAAGTAGAAAACTGTTCATTTAGACCATGATAGGTGGATTGGATAATCTTTTTTTTTTCTTTAGTAGTTGTCAGTGTCCCTCATTTAGAAAATTAAGTTCGTCTTGCTTCTTTACCAGAAATATGTTTCTGACTTTCTTTCAAAGATGGCAGCTCTGGTAAAAGTGTCAAAATTAGTACAGAGACTTTTTCCATTGACAACAAAACTAAAAATTGCCGTCAGCCAGTGTAACATGCTAAATTTGTAGATTGTGCAGCTAGTAGCAGGTTCTGTTAACAGATTCTCACACCTGAGCTGTAGATCTCTGCAACTCCTCCAGAGTAACTGTGAGCCTCCCGGTTGTTTCTCTGATTAAATGTTTGTTGTACCCGTCTTTTGGTTTTGGTGTTTGACTATTTGTTGAGCAGATTTTATGTGGGGAATGACTATATACACACAAATGAAATTCAATGAGATTTGTGGAAACATAAAAACATTTAAGTGGTGTTAAGCCTGGCAGCACAATAAAATACACCGTCGATTTGGTACATAATGTCGTCGAGTTCAGCTTTGTTCCTAACATATCATGCCGTTTCTCTACATGGAAATACTTTCATTTTCACAAAGTTATCCAAAGTTTCATCAATAAATACAGAACACACGCAAGCAAAGCTTTTTTCTGCTTTTACTCACGTAGTTTCAGCTTGTTTGGTCAATCACACCATTCCACAAGAGCCATGAAAACAGAAGTGTGAATGAAATCTCAAACTCACTCTTCACCAGGTGCTTGAGCGACACTAATTTTAGATGTTTCAGTATCTCTGACATGCCAAATTATCAGCGAAGACGCCACCCCTGGACTGCACACATCTCTCGCTCTTAACTCTGGGACATTCGGGTCAACAGAACTTGTGGCATGAATGCTTGTACCCACGAAAATAACTTTTCACATAAAATGAAGCTGTGTTATCGTTTGGGACATTTTACACACGTATTTATGAAACAAACTAAAATGAAGGAGGAGCTTGAGAGGCAGTGTTTTGTTTTGTTATTTTACGAGCACGGCATTTTCTGCTCCCAGTTTATTGATTATAGATCTCACTGTAAACTCTATTTTGCTCTCTATGAGGAGGGAAAGCGAGAACGTGTCTTTGCAAATGCATCTGCATGTTGCAGCATGACTCTAATTAATTGTTAAAGGATTGAAATGAGGTGAACAGCTGAGATAGTCCTTGTCACACAAGCACCATCTCAGCAGCAAGCTCAGTGGGTAGAAAAGAGGATGAGCCACACTTTCAAACAGACCAAACCACCAACATGCAGCTATTAATCCTGACTTCCTCTCTTGAAAAACAGGTGTTTTTCCACAAAGAAAGCCTTATTTTTCCCTAACAATTATTATTCAAAGGTTCACATCACTTGAGTAGCTGTACCAAGTTACTTACTGTTGACCAAAAGCTCATCTGTAAGCAATTTTATTTAGATGAGTGCAACAGAATCGCCATACTGAATTTGTAATTAAACTTTTTTTTGTTGAATTTCCTGTTTTTGCTTCTTTTTATCTGCTATGAGTTGACAGGCTGTAATTTCACACTGACGAGATTTAATCAATGACAGAGCTGTGCAAAAGAAGTCTCTTTATCCTGATGAACTTGTGGATACATTCAAGGTTTTTTATGAAAAAATTTGAAAAATGTGAAGAGCTCACTTTACTCTGATACTCCAAAATAAAATCAAGTGCAAGAAATGATCTCCCATCACCAGCCCAGTTGTGCCTTAATTAACCTCAGTGTTACTCCAGCTCTATTTATAATTGAAGGTTTGCTAGAGAACATGTCGGTAATAAAATGGAGGATGAGTTTAAAACAGGAAATAGCTTCTTTAGATAAGGCAATAAATAAATAAATATGCAAAACACCCTAAATAACACCATCCTGTTGGTGATATGTAGACACAAATCCAACTGAGAATTTGTGGCAAAATAGATCAACTGAGTTTGATCTGCCAGTGAATTGCATCATAAAACAGCAAAGTCAAAGAAATGTGCTGACACAGCTTTATTCACACCAGATTCACATGGAGTATTCTGCAGATAATGTGAAGTCCTGACCACAGAAAAACAGTCTTTAACCAAATTATGGTGCGTTGTCATGACCATCTGATTAATTTTATCGTCTTAAGTCCCACGGCTGTGTTTCATCTTGACATGTAAGTTTGGTAATCACAGAGTATTACAGAGAGCAAGGAAGCAAGATGGCCAGGCGTTAAAGGTCCAGATATGTGACTTTTAAAACACACGTTTCTATATATTTCTTGAAACCATCACTGTCGTGACTGTATAGTATGAAATACACAAACTGAAAAAAAAACAAGCTCTTCTGCCGTCTCCCATTGCTCCCAGTGCTAACAAGAACAACCAATCAGAGCCAGGAGGAGGGTCTTAGTGCTGTCAATCATGTCATGTACACCACTGCATTGTAATTGAACCTGAAAATATTTGTCTTGTAACACTGAGTTCCGAAACAACTCACTGCTTCAGCTAAATCTGCTAAAGCTGTTAACAGATTTAGCAGCGCTTTCACAAGAGTGAATGACAGCGCTAAGACCTTCCTCCTTGCTCTGATTGGTTGCTTTTTTACTGAGAGGAAGAGGAGGCGCCTGATCCTTTCACTGATTATCTGTCTTGCACTATAATGTCACAACATGGTCACAGTTTCAACAAATATGCAAAAAAAAATTTTTTTTTTTAAAGTTATAAAAGTTTCATATTTTGTGTCTGTCATGTCTTTGTAGGTTTATGGGTGTAAAAGCACAGTGAGCTGCTCACCTCATATTGAAGGATATCATAAACATGTTTGGCATAATGAGGCATTTTGGACTGTAGGTCACTGAAGCGCATAATTTAAACAGCATTTTTAAAATACATGTCATGTACTTAAAAAACCCAAAACAAAACATTACACGTTACTTCCTGTAATTCACAATTGGGACTTGCAGACTTCATCTATTTTGTGGAAAAATAGTGCTGTACGCTTCATCCATGTCTGCTTTTCTCAAAGTCGCATAGGTGTCTGCTTCTTCACGCGATTCCTTCTGCTGTTTTCTGCTCCTGCAAATACAGAAAAAAAATAGTTTTAAAACTCTTCGTTCTTCACATCCAAAGCTTGCACTGATAATTCAAGAGAGGCAGTGCATTGAAACTGCCTATCTTGAGACATATTTCTATTCTTACCTTAGGTAAATACAGATGAAAAGAGCAATAAAAACAAGGTTCAGAGTGAAACCCACCCCTGTTAGCCAGGGAAGAGCTGATCCTGGAGAAGCTAGAAAGAAAAATTGCTCAAGATTAACAATGAAGGATTTTTTTTTGTACCTACGAACTTTAGGGATCAAATGAAAACAAAACTTTTGATTACACACACTTCACCCTGTCGTGCTCCGTGGAGTTTTGAATCTGGAGTTCACTTTCCGCCTGACCGACTTCATTTCTGCTCATGCATTTAACGGTGTCATTGTGATATTTAGCTGCAGGCATGGCGAGGGTGCTGTTTACTCTCTCAGCGTTGCTGAAACTGGTGACCGCGTAATCTGTGAGGGTTTCCGAAGGCCAAAAGATTGGTGGCGGAGGATTGCCCCAGCTGATGCACACGCAGAGCAGCAGCTCCCCTTTAACAGTGCAATGAGAGCTGTTCAGGATTCTGGGTGAGACTAGAGAAAAAAAATCTTCATGTAGTTGCATATCATTAAACTATGAGCAGAATATTTTAAAAAGGCTGTGATCTCTTACATTTCACAGTCAAGGTGACAGTTGTCTCAGCAACATCGTGATCATATGTTGCAATGCATGTGATGTTGGTGTTGTGATGATCCGCCGTTGGAATAACTTGTAAATTACTTATACCTCTGTGTCGCAGACCAGGTCTGGATCCAAATCTTACATGCCACCGTATGTAATCATAATCGTCGAGGTTACTGTCCATCATTCTAGATTGTCCATCAGCATCTGTCCATTTCCAAGACAAAAACACTTCACCGGTGCATGGCCTAGAAGCCAAGCAGGTCAGTCTTGTATACTGTCTTTCCACCATCAAAGAAGACAGAACAGTTGGTTCAGTTGTTAATGCTGCAAACAACATCAAAAAAACTAATTAGCATTTTCCACATTGATTGCATTTTCATTGGAGCTAATTGTACAAAGAGTCAAATGAAAAAATAAAAAAAAGATCAGAGCAAAATAAAGGTCTTAATCGTCCAGGCAACACCACTGGTAAACATTTGATGAGCGGAACAGTAATTACTCACCGGAAATGTGAATCCGTTTAGGGAAAACATACGTCTGATTGCAGCCCCATTCAAGTTTGACGCCGTACTTGTGTTCTCCAGGTGGAAGCGAAGTTATTGACAAAATATCCTTTGCAAAATTACTCATGTCATTGATAATTTTTGTGTCAACAACATTTGAAGGATCTCCTTTAAATAATATCTTCTTGTACGGGACTGTCACCTTGTCTCGTGGAAAAGTCACTTCATATGGGATCCGAATACAGTTGGTGGACTGCTCTGTAATGTGCTCTGTTACATTAATGTAAAACTCCGAGTCATCAAGAGTTTCTAAAAAAAAGACAGAGAGACAATATACATTATTAATGTTCCATCAAGCTCTTGTTATTTATTTTAATTCATCTTATTGAAACTTACCGGGGATACACTGAAACAGGCAGCTGGTGCTTCTTAGAAGAATCCAGAAAATAACAAAAATGGTCAAAGCCATTTTCCTGTCTTGATAAAACTATTTGAAAAAAAATAAAAATAATTACAATTAATTCTCCAAAAGATAATTCCAATTTAAAATGTAGACATGCAGCTTATGGATCTAATGTGCACCACAATGATCTTAATCATTGTTTTGTCTTCGGAAGCCGTGTTACTGGGAAGAGAACTAATACAGCAACAAGCTGCGAAATCCTGGACTGCCTGTATTCATGAAAAAGGGGAAGCTCTTTCGCTCGAAAAGAAAGAGGCATGTCCTATACAAGTCACCGAAAGGTTTCAGTTCCTTTTTAAGTATCTAAAAAGTACTTGCAAAAGTGAGATAACATCTCCAAAAATATAAGACCTACAATACTATAGATTTGCTCAAAGAAAATGACATGCTTTAATGGTCCAGTCAAAGTTCAGACCTAAATCTTACTTGGAGCCTGGGGAAAGACTTGAACGTTTGCGGTTTTCTCCTCTCAGTTTGGCTTGGCTTGAGCTGTTTGCCTAAAGAGGAATGAAGAAATAAAAAAATAAAAAAACATTCAGCAAAAAAGGCAACGCAAACAAAGACAAAAACAAAGAATTATTACAAGTTCCAACAAATGCATGCCACACTTTTCAGATCTTTCCATGTAAAAACAGTGAAGGCTATCAGTCCTTTTTCTTATACTTTGTGTCCATTTATTACACAAACCCTAAAGTGAAATTCGTTGAGGTTTGTAGTTGTATGTTTAAAGTGGTGTAAACAGCCTGACAGCATCATGGATGAAAAAACTTAAAGAAATGTGAAGACATAGACTTTATTTACCGTAGTTTACGCCAATAAAATCAACCAAAGACTACAGAATGAATATTACACCATAGTTATGTTACACAATGACGATGGCGTAACAATGACATTGTGTGACTTTGAAATGAAATTGTGACATGAGATATTGAGAGGGAGATAAGAAGATCCGATCTGTGAAAAAAAAACACCTCAGTGTGAACTCTCACAGCAGCTCAACAGTTCCTCATTAATAATATTATTTATAAACATGAAGTGGCCATCGTACTCTTGTTTTTACCCATAATTCACTCTATCAATTGACCTGTTGCATTAAATTCACTGTAATCACACAGTATCTTATTCTCAGGCTTATTTTCATTCACAGTTGAGAGAAAAAGAGTCAATTTATAATATGTTTTATGCAAAATTTATTAGTAAATTACTCAATTAAAGCAATAAGGTGAGTCAATATCAATGTGAATGTACAGCAGCAGCAAGCTCATTGGTTGTGAACGAGCTTCATAGCAATCAGTATCCACTGAGTGTTTCCTTAAAAGTTGACATTATTCCAAACAGAGATTGTTATATTTTGACATTTGAAATGAGTTTTTCTTAACCATTTTCTGACTTGACTAAATCAAAGAAAATGACTTACAATGCCTTGCAGACACTCTCCTGATGTACGAAGATTGTTGAGAGCCAAAATGGCAACAAAACACATGCAGGTGGAGAGTGGAAGGCAGAAAGACTGTGGTGCATTCAGGGCGCTGCGTCGTCTTTTCCACTCGCTCACTGTTTTTATAGTTTCGATAGACAAGCTACCAGCTCATCTGGCAGCACAATTGTATAGCTTTCGATTTATTTACAGCAAACTCATAAATGCAACTTTGACAGACTGAAAGTGGCTCTGATTCGTAATTGCTCTGTTCTGTGACGTTTCGCTCTACCACTCGATGTGGCAGAGTGCAAACAGGGCTTGTTCATATTTCAACAACAGCTTTCCAGTTGCATGTCTTGTTATGCTTGCAGTTGTTTAGTACGTATAGATGATGTATTGAACATCCTTCCATAAGGTGATATTATCCATTTGTTTTTAATTCTTTATTTTCTGTGCAATTTATATATTTACACTCTGCACGCTGTCTGCGCTTGTAACAGAAGTCAAATTACTTGTTTGTACACACAATATTTAACCAATAAATTCTGATCCTGGTAACCCAACAAACTATGTAACTTTTTCTCTGACCCATCTGCCGTCTCTTGGTCTCTTGAAGGCTGTTTGTTCAGCTGAATAAAAATGTGCATCACACTTTGTAGATTTAAATTTGCTAAACGTGCCATTATCTTTTTATTTCATTTTTCTTGGTCAACCACATGCAATCCTTGAAGAACACATAGCAGTTTTGTTTTGCATTTTCTTCTCTTATGTGTCTTGAAGCATCTCGGTAGCTTCACACTTGCGGGTTTCGTTTGGGCTTTGCAGAAATGACGCTGTATTCTTCCTCAATGTCTGCCTTTTTCAGAGACATGTAAGTGTTAATCTCTTCGCTCTGTTCCTTCTGCTTATCACTCCTTCTGAAAATAAGGAAGAATTTGCAAGATGTTATTTTTTGTTCTGACAAACGGGCGTGGGTTTCTAAAATCAAGTTTTGTTGTCTTACCTTTGACAAATGTGGATAATCAGGGCAGTAATGAAGACCAGGTTGAGAGAGAAACACAGCCCGGCTATCCAGGGAAGAGCTGAATCCATCCCCTTCCTTTCGCCTGGAACAGCTGGAGGAATCAGTTTGGCCTGGATTTAATCAGGTTAAAGTTACAACCATGCTTCCAAACCGCGATTGCATGGGATACTCACTGCTTGGCTCCGTGCTCGCTTCGGAGTTATGAATTATAATTGAGGTTTCAGCCAGACCGCGCTCATTGCTGCTGGTGCATTTTACAGTGGCGTTATAGTATTCAGACGCAGGCATTGTGAAAGTGCTTCTCACTCTCTGAGCAATCCTCAAGGTAGTCACTGAGAAAGCCGTGAGGTTTTCCAAAGGCCAAGAGATCGGCGGCAGAGGGTTGCCCCAACTGATGCACACGCAGACCAGCAGCTCGCCTTTAACCAGGCAGTGAGAGTCATTCGAGATCTGAGGTTTAACTGAAAGAAAGACGCAAAAACAAAAAGAAAGGAAAGTTACTCATGGAGAGCAATATAACAAGCCATAATGTGTCGGTATGTCGTGTTTCTTACATTTCACGTTCAAAGTGAGAGTTGTTTCCGTGAAGTCATTGTCATATTCAGCCATACATGTGATGTTGGTGTTGTGATGATGTGCTGTGGGATTAATGCGCAAAGTATCTCTATATCCATAAAACCACTGATCAAATCTCCCGTAGCGATAGTCGCTGAGTACCACAGATTGTCCGTCAGCCTTCGTCCATTTCCAGTAAACTCGGAGTCCTTGTGAGCACGGCTTGGGGACGCTGCAGATCAGCTCCGAGCGTTCCTCCGTCAAAAGAGGAACCAAAAGACTCGGCTTAGTTGCTAATGCTGAAAAGTTGAGCACATTTAACATGATGCAACAAGCATGATGGTTGTTTTATTGAAGAAAGGCAACAAAAAAATTTTCATAATCTTAAGATTCTACAGTTTTTAAAGCAGGGGCGTCAAACTCCAGTCCTTGAGGGCCGGTGTCCTGCAACTTTTAGACCTGAATAGAGTAATTAGGTCATTAGCAAGGCTCTGTAGAACTTATCTACACAAGGAGGAGGTAATAAAGCCATTTCATTCCTGTGTTTTGTACCTGTGGTACATCTAAAAACTGCAGGACAGTGGCCCTCGAGGACTGGAGTTTAACACCCCTGTTTTAAAGCATCATCACTGTGTCCAGACAAAAAAAAAAAACTTCCGCTAGATTAATTTTTATTTATTTTTTCAGTTTAAATGTACAGTTTATAGCACTGGGAGAAGAGGGGGGCTTCAACAAAAGAACGGATCAAAAATGGTGACAACAAGCCTTGGGATTCTACAACAACCTTGGTTGACTTCACTGAACATCTTTGACAGTATACTTACAAGAAATAGTAAGTTAATTTGTTCTTGCATTGGTTCTGTCTTCAGTTTGGATAAGATTTTTTTGCCCAGAGGCAAAATTAACAGCTAGTATAACTGCAGTCAAGATCAAAATAGTCCTCCACTGTCCAAAACTGCCTCCAGTCTCAACCTCACCGTTTGTCCTTAATCAAAGGTGACTTTATGAAAGTTTATGTTGTCATCACTGCTGAATTTGGTAGTTTTATTGTTTTTTTTTTTTTACCCAGAAGAAATACTGGTGAAAACTTGGTTGTTGGCCAGCTTTTGTAAATTTACATTTTGCTAATTTGTTTTATAATAACTGATGATTCTTCACACAAGACGTGGAGGTGGGGTGTGGTGCACCCTGGATGATCTTCCTGTGTGAACGTTCTTAGCTTTAACTAACAACTAAGTCGCAGGATTAAACAAATGAAAAATTGCAACAAACAAACTTTTATGAGGAAGCCAGATTGTCATGAAGTGGTGTATTGGAGGTGATGAGGCAGGCGCTGGAGACCCAGATATGGTGAATGATGAAATATTTAATGAAAATAATCCACAAAAACAACGTCAAAGTAGTCCGCGGCTAGGCAGCACGGCTGAGCGGAAGCCAGGGCTCACACAGGTAGCATCTAGTCATACAGGCGGCAAACAAAGACAAGAGAACGACGACTTATGGCAATACGACAAGGACCCGACCAGGGACAAAGGACACAGGAGGGACTAAATACACTCAGGGTAATCAAGGGAACAAGACACACCTGGGAGTAATCAAGGGGAAGACAGGACAACGAGGAGAACTCAGGACACAGAAACTCAGAATTAAACACAGAAAAACACAGAACCTGACACAGATTATGGTCATACCCACAACCAAACTCAAAGTGATAAATCAACCACCATCGACACCAACATAAACTTTTTGCCTTTTTTTTTTAGCAAAAAAGAAAAAAAAAACCTGCAACCACCAGTAAACATTTAGCAACAATAAAATCTCATACTTACGTAAAACAGAGACGTGGACTCTCTTTGGGAAAATGTAAACTTGATTACACCCCCATTCCAGTTTGAAGCCATATTCATATTCTCCACGAGGAAGATTTTTTAACGAGAATGAATCTTCTTTGTCAGAATCTGCACCGTAGACAACTTTTTTGTCAACGACGTTTGATGGATCGCCCTGAAATAACATCTTTTTGTAGGGGGCTGCCACTTTGACTGGAGGAAATGTCACCTTGTGTGGGATTACGATGCAGTCGATAGACTCCGCTCTGATGTGCTCTGTTACGTTGACTGAAAACTTTGTCTCATCCACAGTTTCTGTGGACAACAGAGGAGATACTTGTTGTTTATATTAAATGCAGAGGATTTCTATGTGATGCTGCAGACATTTAGAGCACCGTTTCAAACCTGGGATGCAATTAATTTGACAGCTGCTGGGTCCGAAGAAAACACAGAATATTGCAAAGTGGAGTGAAATCATTTTGCTTGTGTTGATTTGCCTGAAGAAAAATGAAAAGAATAAATATTCTTGTTTCAGGACAGTTTCCGATTAAATTTTGTCATTTTTAAAGTAACATTTTCATTTTATTCATCTAATGCATCTCACTCACCTCCATAAAAATGACTTCTTATTGCTCGTTGCTGTCCTCTGAAGGAATCGGGGGACATAAACTTGCTGAACAGCCAACACTTTCTGAAGAAACAGAAGTTGCATATGATCACATGGGTCCTACGAAGTATTTATGTCAACAGAGGATTCAAAGAGGAAGCAAGTCAGTGCAGCTTTCTTTCAAAATGTGCCACAAATGTTGAATATGGTCTAAATGTATTCCATATACCGCAGCAAAAGACATTAATGTGATGAATTTAGTTATTGTACTATATTAATAATAAGCAATATCAACAGTATCCAGCAAATTATTAATTTACAATACGGTTTTAACTGGTTGGATTGGCGTTGCAATAAATTCAAGTTGATTTCAGCCTCAATAAAACTCAATCTTCACAGCTGGCTCTATTCCTGATTTTGGTTGAAATTTTTATAGTGCGGCTTTAAGAAATGTTCTTTTTACCGTGATGTTTGTTCTGACCTGCCAAATCATGTTTCTCCAATGCTGTTTTCACTGACCACTGGACCGCTGTTGTCTGCAGGTGACTCTGTTTTCTTGCAGAGAGCAGTCTCCGGTAAAGCACAATCAGAATGTGACGTAACATTTTTTTGTGAAACAAAAAGTCCAAAATATTTTCTGCATGAAGCATTTGCAGTTTTTTTTTTTTTTTTTTGCTAAAAATCCGAGTTTGAAGCAGTCGTTCATTTCTGAACTCGCAGCTCAAACTCCTTGGTAGGAAACAACTTTGTAAAGTCAAAAACTCTCCAAATTGTTAATACCGTTAACAGTTTGGAGGAGGGCGACTCAAAATGTGTACATGCACAATTCCAATAAGAATGATTAATATTAAGTATTCATCACTTCAACATTTCTTTTCAGTAATTGTACATCTGAGGAGGCCAAGAAAAACATTCACCTCATATTTTGTTTAAAAAAAAAGAGAGAGAGAGACAGCAATAATATGAATCTACAAATACAAACTTTTTTTTTAATCCTTAAATTATGTTTTAAGGTGTAATGAGTCAGGGAATAAATACTGAACAAATCAAGCTGCAAAAAGGCATGTTGTCTGATCTTATTTCTCTTTATGATGGTATCACACAGGCAGCGCTGGTGTGCAGAAACAAAGAGCTCTTTCAAAATTCACTCAGTATTGGTGTAATATCCTCATTGTGTCCCAATTATTGGGAGTTTGGGTTTTAGTTTTTGTTTGTATGTGATCATCCTTCTTGTGAATTACTTATGTTTCACAGGTCTTGCCACATTCTGTGTATTTCTCTGTTTGTTATAGTTTCTAAGGTGTTCCCATATTAGTTCATTTATTTAGGTTTAGTTTTTCTGTTTATTTTTGTGTTCTGTTTCTATTGTATTTTAACTACTTTCTCTCATGGTCAGGCTTTTTTCCTTTGGTTTCTAGATCTTTTGAGTTCTGGTTCAGTTGCTCTGTGGTAATTAGTCTCCCTCTCTGATTTTTTTCTTCTTCCTCCCTGCCCTAGCTGTACCACATTTCCTCTGATCAGTTCCTCTGGTTGCCACTTTCTAGACCTGTTCAGTATTTAAGCTCCTGAATTCTTATTATTCTTTGTTGGATCACTATGCCTGATCTCTGATCTGTCCAGCTGCCTGTTGTTTTGTCCAAACGTCACATTTTGTTAAAAAAATGCAAGTTTCTTTATAATTTAAACTTTAGAATGTCGCATTTTGAGATAGGAATATAAGTTTGCAAGGCTTTTTTTGGAGCATGTGAAATGACACTCTTCTCATAATTAAGAGGAGGAATGAATAGAGATTTTCTTGCTAATCAGCTGAAGATTTAAAACGGACAACTATTCCACAAAAACACAGCCAAATTGTTTTCATAGAAAGTGAATGAAGCTGCTGGCCTGACTTAAATATGACTGGGCATCTAAGGGAACAAACCTGAACAATAGAGAGCATATTTGAGCCAATAAACTAGTTTAAAAACTCTCTTGAACAAAGTTAAAGCCTTACTAAAAACAGTCACTTTGTTAGAACTTGTTCATTGTATCATTTCACTTTATTGAACGCTGAACTAACTGACTTGGTTTTATTACTGGGTTGTCAGTGATTTTATTGTATTGAAGCAAAAATCTTTGGTCCATGTTCAATATCATTGTGAACCTGACATTCTGGAAATCTCCTAACCTGTTTTCACCGCAACGACCTCAGAGTTATTTTGGTTGTCGCTCACAAAATAGAGCAGCAGATGTCCTTCCTGTTGCCTATAGCAAAAATATTACAGAGCAATTTCTGCCACACAAATCAGTCAGTGAGATAAAATCCATATGACACACACCATGTTGCAGTGCATAGCTTTACCTACAGCCGGCATGTGGTTGATATCTATGGCAAATGTTGAAAGTGCTCTGATGAAAACCGACCCTCGCTGATTTCAAACCTCATGCAGGCGATAATCTGCCATAAAGAAGGAATGTGAGTGGGTAAGGGTGTGTTTTGTGTATATAAACAGAACGGATGTCACCTCGAGGCTTGAAGCCATTAAGCGGCGAGCCAGTGGAGTTGAAACCCCCTGAGCTGTGGGATATCTGACCATCACCTGTTGACCCTGACCCGAGTCAACTGCGGGAAATTAGAGGTTGTTAGCATAAGGTAGGGAAATAACAGGTAGGGCCCCATAGCTGACAGAAAAAAAGAGAGTAAATTAAGGAATTGAATTTCATGAAAAACATTTGCAGTCTTGGATGTATATGAGGGGACTGATACCAAGCCGTGGCTTATGAAGCTAGAAGCTGGAGGCAATTAGTTAACTTATCTTTTGATCAGTAGGAAAGGTTTACCTTCCTGGTCGCAGTTTCCAAATCCACCTATAGCAACAAAGCAGCTCACTCACTAACACACTATCTCATTTGTTTAAACTTAATAAATGAGACCCAGAGATCACTTAGGGGCGTTGAGGTAAAGCTCAGTGCTGTTGCATTATTGCTGCTGGAAGTTGCTCTTTGGTTTGTTTGGATGTTGAGTAAAAACTCTCCACAAATCATCTGGTAAACATCAATTTCCTAATTCATTTTAAGGTTTGATCTTTAAATGCTTAAGTTTTAATGCGTTAGCCCCGCCCCGTTGTCAAGAGACGAAGGTTGTCAAACGGCGAGCGAAAGTGAATAAACGGTGACGTTTAAAAGAAAATTCAAAGCATCCTGGAACTGACCCCCCTGCCAGTAAATGAAATGTGACTCGTATATCCACTGTTTTGATATTCTGTTCTGAATCAAAATGCTTTATTCATCTATGAGGTTACAATTGCAATTACAAATAATAACTAAAAACAAAGAGACAAAGATTATTAATAATAGAATCCAATAGAAAAATCCTTCTGTGAAAAAGCAAATAATCTAGTGGAAAACTCCTGGATGCACATGACCAATCTTTATATTTATACTCAGCTGTTTCCCATACCAGCAGTGTACACACACGCTTATTCACGGCAGAACCTGGATCAAACACACACACGTGCACACAGCACTAACATTGTGTTAAGATGTATTTTAATAAGCTGTTTATTGACTAAAAGGTTTACAGAGCCGTCAACAGTAACTGAATATTTGACCACACTTTCTTGGCAAGAATGGTATAATTTATCCAAATTGTTTTGGATCTGGGAAGGTCATTCCAAAAGTCGTCTTTTTTTTTCTTTTTTTTTCCAGGGATTCAGGTGAAAATACTTCAAAAACACAAGATTGAATTTAGATTAAGTCATAAGTGTTTTGGAATTGTCACATTCATGTGCTTTATGCTCTAAATATTTTTGCTCCTTATAGAGTAACACTGGGAGAAGCCGTTTAATTGGCTGGTCTAAGGGCTTGAGATGAGTCTGCAGTCCCTCTGGCCGACTATATGTTAAAAAGAGATCTCCTCAGTAACAACACAGGAAAACACTCCTTCAGGTTTCAGGCCTTTATTTTCCAAATATTTAGTTGTAAATACAGGTTTGTGGCACATGCAGAGAGCAAAATAAAACATGGAGGCAGACGTGGCATGCAGTTCTGTACCCATATGCCGAAGGTTATTCATCAGCATGACTCTCAGAGCTTCCTATAAGTAGATCAACACCTCCATACTCCCTCCTGGGTTGACATCAAATCCGACTGGCCAGTTAAAATTTTACAGCTTTTAATAACTCGGCGAGCAGGCAGCTGTCTGTGGCGATTCCTGTGCCACTTCCCACCACAAGAGTAATCCACTGTGTCATGAAAAAGATGGAGAACTCTACAAATGCAAGGATTAGCACCCTGCCTTCTGGCCATTCTTCAGCTAAGAAAAATATTCCTTGCATCCACTGTACACAAATTGGTAGCAAGAAGTCTACCAATTTGTTAGATGTTGTGTGGCGACTTTTTATCCATTAGATTTAGATATTTATATATTTCTTTTCTTTATCTCATTTTTTTTAACTGGGACAAAAATGTAGAGCATAAATATTCCAGCTCATCTTTGCTGATTTTTTTTTTTTCTTCTTGCTGATGGAGGGGTGGGGGAACTAGCAACAGTGCACATAAAGACGCTGGTAAACTCCTATTTAAAAATAGATCAGCACATACTATTTATGTGGTGAGGATGGATGCTTGATAGCTGATGGGGAAATCCATTTCTGAGACAAACTTGGATGGAGAAATACTGTCTGTCTAGATCCACTGTCCATTCTGCAAAATGTTTATCACCGTCTGATCTTTTTAAAGTCAATATCCCCATAAAATCTCTCACATTACTATGTCGCAAGACCCGTCTCCCGCTTTTAGCGTGACCGAAACACTCGTGAGAAATTAAATATAGTTCAGAAATAAACAAGGATCAACCATATTTCCCACAAAATAAAGACCTGCACATTTGTAAATA